GCCTCCAAATAATTTCAGCCCACATCTTCTAACCGACAACATGCCTCAAATCTACTTTTCAAAAAAAAAAAAAACAGACCTACGACATGCGTCAAATCCGTTTACAATAATCCCCGAGGCTGTCGGAAGTTGGAACGACCAATTTTATGTAAAACTTATTTCATTTGATAAATAATATTAGCCTAAAAATCTGATCAATAGGTTAAATTTAACAAAGTATCGAGTGATATAATTCTCTTAACAAAATTTAATAATTATAATTATAAATAATACTTTTATATAATTTAAAATTTTAATCTAATTAATTAACATAATGATGTGTCGAGTGGTATAGTTTCTATAAAAAATGCTAATAATTGCAAGTAGAAAAATCCTATTGAATGGTGTCAACTCCCTTACCAAATAATATAATGTTATTATTTACCCAAAAAAAATAATATGATGTTACTTAAATTTAATTTATTAATCCAATTTATTGACTTAATCAATCACATATTAAATTGATAGTAAATCCAAATATTATGTGAGACTTAGTACTATTGAAATAATTGTGTTGAATTAGGTCAACAAAATAAATCTAAATAATATTATTGTTATTTTGCAAATGAATCACATCAACTAGCATATCATCATTAAATTACTATTTTTGGTAAGATTTTTAAGTCTATTTAGTATTTTGCTTTTAAGAATATTATTTTTTTTAATTTAAATATCTAATCTAGTAATGTGTCAAGTAATATACTTAGAATGAAGAATGCCGACAATTATAATTACAACAACTGACACAGAGAAATAGGGAGCACAAAGAATATTACAATTCCTTATGTATCCGGTCAAAAGGAAAACTATGAATCCACATAGATAATAGATAAAACTCTAAAATATGATTTTATTGAATGAATAATTTGCAGTACAAATGAGTAGTATAAATAGGAATGGTCAAAACTATAATAATTCTCGTAAAGCAAAATCGCTAACATTATGAAAATTATAAAAAATAAAAATATGTGATTTTTTGTATTAACATAAAAGTACGTGTCGTCTAGAGCTTAACAAAACTAATTGCGTTGAATTCAAAATCTAATATGATTTATTATTAATTTATGAAATCTTTCTTGAAACGATTAAAATGCAGTTTTGAGAACTTAAACGGTGGAATTCAGCCTAAAGTTGAAGGGGTTCATGGCAAAATAATGAGTCCTGACCGTTGGTTTGGTTTGGATCAAACACCATTAGTCTTACTGAATTCTGAGTCTGACTCATTTTGCCTTTAACTATTATTTTTTTTAATCTTTGATTGTGTTTTGAAGGCACGACAATTAACCTATTTCTACATCAAATATTGGACTATATCAAATAGCACATTATTAGATCACCAAATTATGCTAAACTTATACGTCGCATTATCATTACTTCGTATGTAAAGGTCCAATGGCATTTAACTTTGATAAAATGGTGTATAAGCTGGGTAATTTCAATCCAATTTGTAAACGACCATAACTGTTGAAAGTCAACAGTCGAGTCATTTGTCTGGTACAATCAAAGAAAATGATACATGACAATCACCACACACTTTATTGACAATTCTTGGACATTGCAAAGTCGAATTATAAGGTACTAATAATATTTCATTAGCATGTGCTATTTATTTTAACTTATTAATGATCTTTCATTAACATATGTTATTTATTATCTTTAGATTTTTATATGTGCCTTATCCACATACCAAGGAAGTGTTTGTGGAGTTTTTGATGGATTATTTTTTCGATTAGAACCTTGATAGAAAGTTGATAACTTTGACCGTGGATAATTGTACCACCAATGATACAATTATGACTATTTTGTTGGATAAACTTCCATTTGCTTCACTAATATTGAATGGTCAATTGTTTGATATGCATTGTTGTGCACATATTCTCAACATAATTGTGCAAGATGGTTTGAATGTGATTGGAGATGGTATTGAAAGAATTTGTGATAGTGTTGCTTATTGGACAACATCTCCCAAGAGAGTCCAAAATTTTGAAGAGGCAACTCATCAGATACATATTCCAAGTAGTAAGAAGTTTGCTCTTGATGTTAAGACTCGATGAAATTCTACTTTTCTCATGCTTCAAACTAGTTTGATTTATAGAGATGTGTTTGCTCGCTTGAAATATCGAGATTCTCATTATAAGATTTGTCCGAGTGAAGATGATTGGGAGGTAGCAAGAGAGATTTGTGAAAAATTGGAATTGTTTTATACTGCAACAAAATTATTTTCAGGTACAAAGTATCTTACTGTCAATGTATACTTTCCAACTATTTGTGGGATAAGAGTAGAAATATCTAAGTGGCTTCAAAGTCTCAAAGACGTGATAAAAGATATGGCCTTGAATATGTTGAAAAAATTTAACAAATATTGGAGTGTGATTCATGGTATTATGGGAATAGCCACTGTTTTAGATCCACGGTATAAGTTGAAAATTTTGGAATATTACCATGAGAAAATGTATGGAGGTGTGGAAGTTTTAAATAAAAGTTAAGAGAATTAAGGAGCTTTGCTTGGAATTAGTAGGTGAATATGAAGCAAGGCAAGGAAGTGATTATGAACCACAACCTTCTTCTCCCTCTCTTCAATCAAATATTGATTCCAAATACCCATTAATTGATGATCTCTCTGATTTTGATAAGTTTATACAAACAAAAGACTTAACAAAAGCACGTGGGAGGTCTGAGTTGGATCATTACTTAGAAGATAGTATAATGTCAAAAACTTCAGATTTTGATATACTATCTTTTTGAAAGACAAGTGATCTCAAGTATCCCCTGCTTTAAATGATTACTAAAGATCTTTTTGTTATTCATATTTGTACTGTTGTCTCGGAATCTAGTTTTAGCACAAGTGGGAGGGTGATCAGTCCACATTGCAATAGACTTCTTCCAACTACAGTAGAGGCTTTAATGTGCTCTCAATATTGGTTCTGTGCTGAAGAACGAGATAATAAAATATCATTTGTATATGCATCATAACTTTTTTGGAGGGTAAAATATGATTAATGCATTATTATTTTTTTTGTTAGGTTCATCTATTTCGAAGGGCTTAAAGAGCTACACATTATTGGAGGATCTTGATCTTGATGATGAGGTATATCGTTTAAGTTGAAAATTTTTCTTTGGAAAAATCTAATTTTTTTTTTCTTTTATTGATATAGGAAAATGATGTTGAAGAAGTATATTCTACCACCACCGATGGTGTTAAAAGATGATTAAGTTGGTAATTTTTCAATTTCAACCAATCAATTTTATTAGTAAATACAAAATATTTTTTATGCAATTATTATAGTTTTTTATGTTTTATTTTCTTTATTAAATTACAGGTGTGACCGTGTGAAGCTACATGGTAGAATAGTGACTATGTGAAGCTACATGACCGTGTGACCGTGTGAAGCTAAATGTCATTAAAGTAGTGACATTTGTTGTTTGTTATTTTGAACATTTGTTAAGACGTGCTATGTTATGTTGGACAATTATATCAAAAGTTTCCCTATTCCCCATTATGCAGTATTTTGGATATTTGATGAGGTATATTGTGTTATGTTGTTTATATTTTCAATATTTCTTTATTTGTTGTTTGAATTATGTCAAATTCAAGTAATTATTGGAGAATGTTCTTGGACTTTTAAATGTTGAATGTATTTAGAATTTTTAATTACGTTGGCTCGGGCTTGGGTGGGTATGAGGGAAACGGGGACGGGGACAGGGGAGGGGATTAAAAAATTTCCCGTGGACAGGGATGGGGATGAAAAATATACCCGTTAACGGGGGTGGACCAGGGATGAACTAAGGTTTTTTAAGCGGGTACAGGAATAAAGACTATAACCCCCCACCCCCGGTTCGGTCCACTGACATTCCTAATCTAGAGGGTAGGCATCTTGAACTTCGAGGGTAAGGGATAATCGACTATGTCTGCAACAAAAGGTGTATCAGTACGTCTTACCAAGTAGTCTACCGTCTTGGGGCCAGTGCCTTGATGGCGTTGAGGGCATCACCCAATTTGTTTTGCACCTCTTTGATCTTCTCGTCTCATTGGTTGGGGACATCCTCTGTTGGGTGATTGTACTGGCTTCCATGATCGCCATATTGGCTCTCTCCGTCGTCCTCTTACATAGGCACGTGAAAAGGGAGTACACGTGAGCTTCCTACGCGCTGAAGAGGCACTGCAGTGCGAGGGACCCCATGGAGGAGGGCTACTTGGCACCAAGAGGGGTTAAGTTGCTACTCCTCTCCCGTTGAAGGGAGTGGGGCTCCTCACACAGGGTGAGAGGCGACGCCTTTCTGGGCGAGTATCAACTGAATGATCTTCTGGTTTTGGTTTACCAGTAGCTGCAAGGTCTGTAAGAGCTGTTGTCCGACAACAAGGGTCGCCATAGCAGATGGTTCCGACAGTGCGAGGGGAGGCGGAGCCTCCTTCTGGTGAGCGGGGTTGTTGTCTCTCGGTTACTGACTAATCGATTGGGTCGTGATTACGATAGATTAAAAAGAATAGAAAACCTAGTCATTTTCCACAGAATGAGTCAAACTGATGATACACAAAATTGTATTGCGCAAGATCAACGGTCAAGTATATGTAAATATACAATTAATAAGCAATAAATAGGCAATCAATGACAAAATGGTAAATAAGAGTCAACACAAAGATTTATAGTAGTTCGATTCGGGTGACCTACTGCACTCTCAGGAACCGCAGCGGTGGCCGATGTTTTTTATTGATGAATAAAAGTCATCAGGATAGTATTCTCCGGGGGAATTACAATGCTTTGGAATAAAGAAGCAATGTGTGTAGAAAGGTGTATAGAGATTTCAAGGTGATGCCCCTTATGTGAAGAGGGCTTACATTATATAGGTTTGGTAAGGCAGTGAGGCAGTTACTACTTTTTAGTAAGTACAGTTATGGTAGAACTGAATCTTCATAATGCGTATCTCGATATTCTTTCTCTCGTGCTCTTATTCCTTTGGAGGAGAATCCTGAGCTGGATTGGGTTGGTAAGGCAAGGAAGATACCACTGAGGCGGTGTTTGAGGAAGAAAGAGTGTGGAGTAGAGAAGATGCAGGGGTCCCCTTGGGGGTGGCCCCCTTGGGCGGCGCTCCTTGGGGTGGCCTCATTGGGCGCTGGCGTCTTGGTCTCCCTTTGGGCTTGGCCTGGTTGATTTGGACTCTCTTGTTTTATTGGGTTTGACCGAGTTAATTTCAGGCTCATCATATTCTATCACATTTTATATAATAAATATATAATTTTACTCTTATCATTCATTCCATTCCTCTATTCCAGATGTATGGAAAAAAAAAATTTGTAAAAAAAAAAATTGGTGACACTGTACACTAAAATATAATATAAGAAAAAATTCAAAATAATTTTTTAAAAAAATTGTTGACACTGTACGCTTAAACATAATATAAAGAAAAAATTCAAAATCAGAAATTCTTTTTAAAAAAATTAAAAAAAAAAAATTTAAGATACACCGTACACTTAAACATAATACAAATAAAAAATTCAAACTCATAATTTTTTTAAAAAAAATTAAAAAAACAAAAAAATTTTGATTGCCAAAATCTCATTCTAATATTAAAGGCCGAAGGGAAATTCAGTAATTAATCTCCCTAATATCATTGGTGGCCAACACCCCATAAATAATACCACCTCCTAGGTGATATTATATAAGCCCATGTACATGGGTTTTGCTAAACTGTAGTTAGCACACGAAAAAAATAAACAAACAAAATATTACTGGGCCTCGCATACTAGTTTTCCAAATCCCACCTTCTTATACCACCATTATCCTTCAAAAAAATGTGACCTTAGGGTATTAAATTAGATCTCTAGATTATGTCAATAAGGCATTTTCCTTTAAGATATGTATAGCCAGTTTATATAATTAATGTATAGTGTTTAAATTTAGAAATATTTACTAAAAAAAAATTGCAATAATAGCTAATTTTAGTTGCTCTTAAGTATGACTGTGTAGCTTTGCATAGAACGTATCAAAATAACTAACTTAGAACATTAAGTTTTTGTAATCTCAATTAAGGGTAAATGTTGGTCACCCCTTGTGGGGACATCCCATAAAACTATGAGGCTCCCTAGGAATGTTTTTTTTTTTTTTGTACTGGTTAGGAATGTTGGTTCATTAATCTAAACTTGTAACAATAATACTACACTGATCAAATTTTAGAACTAAATTAAAAGCCTAAATGATATGGCAGCTGACTTAAATTTTTTTATTTTGTGTCACGTAATTTGAGCTCCAATAAAGATTCTAAATAATATACTGTTATGTTATTTAAGTTCTTAATTTAGTTCTAAAATTTAGTCAGTATAACATTACTCAACTTTTAATTAAGAAAGAAAGAAACACAAAACCCAAGTATACCGGGATTAGCCAGCTAAGCTTATCGAACCGATTAGTTCAACAATTATATATACTTTTACATAAACCGACAACTTTCTAGCCGGACTGATCATTATAAATATGATTTTTATGGTCAATTCATTTGTCTTGCTTGGTGGGATGAATCGATGGACAAATACAGTATGTTAAGACAAACAGGTCACTGATGGGTAATCTATACAAAAATGTCCTGCCTGCAATGTTACTGTCGAATAGGCAGCTTCCATCCACTCAACTTATCATGTGATTAACATCCAACTGGACCACCCATGGGACTGTGGGAGGTTTTTTTTTTCCCACCTGCACTAGATGCAAATTTCATTCAATTACTTTGAGAAACATTACAATCAGATCTTATTATAGCTTGTAATGCGGTAGGAGGACAGGAAAAAAGAATTGGAAGTAACTACAATCCAATGAGTTGCCCTATTCGAGGGTCTAGGTTTTTGAGAAAAAACTAAAGTTTTAACAATTTGACTTAGAATCTAATATCTTCAATGAAGGTGGTAATCTCCCATGGCGGAACCCCTCCTTTGAGCATAGTTTTTTTTTTTAATTTTTTTTTTCTGTAAGATCGAACTTTTTTAGTTAGTGATTTATACATTAAAATGTTACCTCACGAGATTGAGTAAGAAATTAGTCTTTCCAATACAAAAGTTGCTTGCCACTTACTATTCTTAGATTGCAAAACAGGTATGATTGTTGTGCATTGGATACAATACAAACGGTTAAATTTGTTTTCATTGGTATTCAAATCCACATGGACCACTTACTCGAGAAAATATTCAATGCAACGGTGACATCATGTAATCACTATTACATGATATCACTATTTAATTAAAAAATAACAAGTAGATAAAATAAACCCCACTAATCTTATGTGTTGATGATAAAATGTGATGGTTACCCACTCATAAATATAGGAAAATTGTTATAAATATAGTGGAGTTCACTTTACTCACTTAAAACTTTATAATTGAATTGTGACACCATTTGACATTGAAGACGCTGTTTCACCGTTGTCAACAAAATCATCAAGACATAAAAGATTTAGAAAATCAGATTTAATAATGGTACATGACATAAAGATTGAACCGCCCATGCAACACCCCCAAATATAGGTCATGAGTTTAGTTTGAAGAGCTAAGACTATGAATAACAACAGGGTTAGCGTCATCTCCAATTTTCAAATTGAATTGAATTTATTGATATGATCAAATCTTCATCTTGAGGATATTTCAATTATTTGAATTGGATATGAATTGAATAAATTTTAATACGACACCAGTAAGACAAATATAAATCTAACATAATACAATCCATTATTGGTTTTACCACCAATACTAGCAGCAGTAATGTGTTTCTTCCAATTGTAATCGATGAAAATAATATGTCGCATTGTCTTCGGCTGACCTATTTAATTATTTCTCTAATTGTTTTCCTTTCCTTTAAAATAATTACTAATTAGGTTAAATGAATATCAATTATTCTTTTGAAACGATAGCATCATCCTTAGATTTAAGCTCAAAGAAGGGATATATTAGACTATTTTATTTATGAGTTCATGATCAGACCGAGAAATAATAGGCAGAATAGCCTGAATATTAGAATTATAAACCTTTGGAGTTATGAAAAGAATTAACAGAAGCATGAAAAGCAAAACCAAATGGTTATGTGCTAATAAATTTTTTTTAACAGAAAAAAAAATTCTGCTTTATCTGATTGTCGGCAGACCTGTTAAACAAATCAAACTTAAACATTTTTTTAGGCTGATTTAGGTGTAAAAAGTTAACTGAACCAGCTTATTTTATGTGTAAATAATCAAACTATTAAACTCAAATTGAGTTCCATTAACACCCTTATCGCAGTTTTGTTTGAAAAATAAGATAGATGTTATTAAAAAATATTTTGACGGTGTTGTTCGTAGGCCGGCAGACTTGACGTGGGGGAACTTTTTCTCCTTGACATTTTTCCCCAGGCAATTCACTTTTGCAGTCCACTTAGTTTTAAGGACAACTGAAATGGGCTTCTGGGGTTTTTTGTTTTTCTGGTGTGTGTGTGTGTGTGTTTTTGGTTGTCTTTTTTATGGTGTGCAGCTTTTTCAGATCATATTCTATTTCGAGCACTTCGAAGATTCGTTGGAATGTTGTAATCTAAATTTGTATTTAATTAATCAAATATAAACTAATTTTTTTAATCAAATATGAAAATTTGAATATGTTGTATTATACTTCATGGATTAAGTGTAGAATTATCAATATAATATCTAAATTTTACCTTTACGTGAATTTTATCTAAATATATAATTATATATATGTATATATTGCGTAATTTAGTTGCAATTTGCTAATATAACTCTTTAAGTTAATCAAATCAAATTGGATCTGATATGCAATCAAATATCTAATTTCTGACAGATTCAAATATAGATCATATTAGTAAAATCACTTATATAATCAAACTGAATCCAGATTAAATTTTTCAAATTTGAGTTTGAATCTATTCAAAACTACTAAGTAGACACACCCAAAGGGCAAAAAAGTAACTATAATTTTAATATTTTGTTTGGTATGATAAAAAGATGAAAAGTTTGAACGATAGATAAAAACTTTGCTTGCGAGAAGTGTACAAAAAATTAATTATATGTGTTGAAATATGTGTTATTTACAATTATTTCTTTTAATATACACATTTATTTTGTTTATCTATTACATATCTTTTTATTCTTCAATTTTTTTATATTATGAAATACAAAATAATTAATTATTCTTATTTTTCATCCCTCTTATTAAACACAAAGAAAGAAAAAATGATTCCTCCAAAAAAAAAAAATTATTGCTCTCAGTTTTCATCCTTTTATTTCTTTGAATTTTTTGTTTTTTTTTTGGTCAAAAATTGTTCAATCATTTGGGTTTTTGGGTTTTGGTTTAAAACGTGATTTGTGATTTGTGCCACATGGGTACCAGGGTGGCCACTTGTCCTATTGCCGGGACACATTTTACGAGGACTCTAAGTTATTTAATTACATTATATTTGTCCTCTAAATTTTTAAAAATTTTATAATGGTTCTAATATTTTTCTTTTCAACAAATTAGTGGTTCACTAAACTTCTAAAGTAATTATTTTATTTTTAAATTCAGTAAATTAGATGTAACTATCATGATCTATTTGTATATTAATTAAAAGACAATATGAATAATTTTGAGAGATATATTAATAATTGTTAGATAATTTTATTTGAATTAGATGAGTTTATTAAAATTTGTCTTATTCTATATTGCAAATATGATGATAACAATTGGTGGTCTGTTCTGAAAAGGTATCTCGAATGTGTGTGGTTCTAAGTTTTTGATGGCTACTCTCTATCTGCGCGAATGTGTGTGGTTCTAAGTTTTCGATGGCTACTCTCTGTCTGTGCGAATGTGTGTGGCGGAGAATGGGCGTTGGTGGTGAGGTGATCTGCTGTGGGGGCTTGTGACTGGGAGTGGGGAGGCTACCTGAAGCAACGGACAATGACTATTTAAATAATGGCATATTTTTGTAAAATATGTTCAAAATATATACGTTTTTTTTTATTATAAAGTGTTTAAATTTGTGTCAATTATTCTTTCAAATTCAATGATTGACCACTGTAATTTGAATTAGTCTAGAGCATATCCCCAAAAAGATAAAATTGGCTAATTTTTGGAAGGCGTAAAAAGAGATTAAACATAAAATAAAAATAAAAAAAGGCTCAATCACTCTTAAGGATTTTATATGTA